AAGTCCTGTGCAAAAACGCATGATCGCACGGGCCCGCCCGGTGCGTTCCGGCCTGGGTTTAATATTACCTTTAACGCTAGAAGTTATCTTACACGCCACATTATTTTTAAATTTTTGAGATATTACCATTTGAAATACTTGCTATCGTCCTGCTATGATTTAAATTAACTATCATCCGATATTATATCACGCGCCGTGAATGACCGTAGATCTGATCATTGTTTGTTAATGTACTGACCCCTTGCAATAAAATGAACGGTATCCACGTGATCCTCACTCCTATCTTGAATAGGCCGTCTAGACATAATTACTACTAACCAACTGGTCTGTATGTGAGTTGTACTTTCGGCACCTATTTGGCACCTTGATTAACCGCCTCTCCATGGGACTTACTCAGTGCTTGACTAACAGAACGTGGTGCAGTTCCCGTTCGATCCTACGGGAGCACAGTGGTGGCATGCTACTGCACCGCAGTTGCAAGATCGAATTTTGTGCTACAGTGTTATCTGAGGGATGGAACAAAAAAGCAAATATTTGTGTTCTTTCTGTAATCCACTGGACACTGCTAGCATGCCTCATACGTACAGAGTCTCAGACCCGGAGTTTCGCTCTGAACGCCGGGCTAGTTTGTTTTAAAAGCGCACCCCGGCTTTTAGGCGGCTAGGAATTAAATGGATTTAACCCTTTGGAACTTTCTAAAATACCATGTAGTACTGCAGCGGAGTTGTTGCTGTTTTCTTGGTAGGTGAATTCAAGTCGCATAGGATCCAGGGTGTCCAGCTGCGTTCCAAGCTTACCGACAGTGTACACTGCTGGGGTCAGAAGTGGAAAACTTACTAGTGTAATACATTTCACATTCTACGAGGGCTTTATTTTCCAAAATACGGGTGATTTAAATCATTCGAATTTTGAAAAATAAAGCCCTCCTAGATTGAAATATTGCAAAGATTACAAAAATCGGAAAAACCTTTGTCCCCATAGAACTTAACAAAATTTTTACGTGCCTACACGTAACCACGCACATCTGCAGCTGAACATGAAATATTTATGTTGTACGTGGATGGGAAACATCCACTTAAAACTTCAACCTCCCAGCTGCTCTAGTTCTCGAGTTAGCAATTGCCCCGCCAAAACTCTCACATGCCTGTACGCGGAGCTTAGCCTTGCGTGAGGCTGGTAGCAGTTGGTCGGGAAGCTCACTGGCAAAATTTCCCCGCCGAAACTTGCCTGGTTGCCGATTACCCGGACAAACGCAAACACAAATACACACAAACACACACTCTGGATCGTCAAAATATGCGACTTTGCACTTTCATTATACAACGCACCAAGCTTGCCGGTGCGATCATGCGTTTTTGCAGTAAAGTCGCAGAGCTAACAGCAGGGATGGTTCCTGCGCTGCAGTTTAACACTTGGAGTCATACCCACATGAATGAGGAAAGGGTGTCGGGTGGAATGACAGTGTTGCATTACAGGACCACAAGAACCACCAGCTTTGAATTCCGGTCATTTTTCCAATAAATGCTCATCCAATGAAGGAATAGAAGTCAGAAGGATTGTGAAAACTGCAAAATGCACTCGCTTTTAGTATGCGATGAAATTGAATATTTGGCATGCCTGTGTACGGGGGATTTCGCCTCCAAGCTGAATTAAGACCACGCATGAATATAGATTATCACTGGAAAATTTCAGCTTGGCAGCTTGTCTGGAAAGCGAAATAGCCAATTCACTACAAATACCTTTGGAATCCCCTTAAATAGTGGCGCAAGTGCAAATCAAAACTCAATTTGGGTATATGATTTTCCATATAAATTACAAATATTCTGACAGAATTTCAGGCACTGTTTCTCGGCTATTTTTCCGAGTAGGCAGAGTGTCAATTGGAACGTTGGCGTGACCGTACGCGCTATAAAAGCTTGCAACAGCAAAATTTGAAATCATTATTTCATACATGCATAAAAAATCCTTGCACAGTTTCAGATTTCTATCTTATCTGTCTCGCGAAATTATTCTCCATCAAAGAAATCTGCATATTTTTTCCCGGGGTCAGTGCACAAGATTTAATGCGTATGAGTGATTTTAAAACCGGATGGTGAAACATGCAGTGGTAATATGCCCCCAAAATTTCAGCCTCCATGTCGCTGCTAAATTGAAAGTGGCTAACAAAGTTTACTCGATTCCAAACACACACATACACACACAAACACTCACACACACACACACACACACACACACACGAACGAACGAGCTCTCGACAATATGCATTTTTGTGTACTCAACACCTTTATAGCGTTGTACAGCAAAGACGCAGAACTAAAAAGATACTGCAGGCCTGGAGTTTTGACGACAGTTTCCCTTCCGAATGCGAGGCCCGAAGCATAAAAGCAACTTTTAGTCCTCTTCGTATTTCAGACCACAAGAACAAAAGCAGCTTTAGCCTACCCCATCCTTTTTGAATTCAGGTCTAATTTTGGTTTCACATCAACAAATGATGAAGACACAAGCTTCGAATTTCTAAATCACGTGCAAGATCAGTTGGCTGAAATCAAGCGGTGCTCTCTATAATGATTCTTGGCAATAAGTCCAAAACCGTACTAATTCCACCTGGTCTGGTCACTTCTTTTTGTATCCCGACTGTGTGTGTATTCACAAAACAAATGCATGATACTCTTACGTTGCAAGAAAACGCCTCCAATTCGACATCATTTTTATTTGTTATGGGATTCGCTACGTACAAACACAGCTTCGAGAAATGCTTATCAGAGGAATGATTAAAAACTGATAAACAGTAAGCTGGTCTGTGACTGGCGATGGCACAACACCCTACAGCAATCACCCGCTGGCAAGGCTTTGACAATGATTTCCCGGGCTGCTTCGAGAAGCAGGCTGCAGGTGCATGATACTTGCGAAAAAAAAACGATGTAAATGACAGAAAATAATACATTTGCAATGGGATCTTGGACTGGAAAGAAACTACTTGGAACGTTTTACGGATCGCAAAATAAAAAGCTCGAACAATTTGACTAAACCACAAGAACTATCGAGCAAATATCTGTTACTTCAACCATCTGCATTCCCGAAAGTCATGACATTTTTACTACGCACGCCTAAAAAACCTGATCTTTCACATTCATCCAAATAAGATCCCACAATTCTTACATAAAAACACAAAAATAAAACAAAAAAGACAATTAACACCTTACTTTGATTATTTTTTTTTTGGATTTTCTGAAAACTTGTTATGGAAAAATCACTTCGTTTTGCCTTTCCACTAGGAAGAAAGGGCTGGCAATCTTGAGAACAAGAGTTGAATTTTTTATTTTTTTTAAAATTAATCTTGTTTTTTGTGTGCAAAATTTCCCCACCCGTATTCGTTAAATGAGGGCGAGTAATATCAGTACAATGTGCATTATTCTACAATTCAGTCAAACACCTCTTTGTTACTTCCCATTCATTTGCGGCTCAAACCCTGGTCCCAGTTCGTGCAGCTTGTCACCTGAAAAAATTTATCGTTACAGCGGATACAAATATTCAAGACTTGAAATTCCTTTCGCATGGAAAATTGGAAGGACTTGCTCGTATAACAGCGTTTTCACTGCACTAATCTGCCACTAACGAGTTTACCGACAGATTACATGGGCAGCAAACTGAGTTTTCCAACACACAAATTACAGATGTACCAGCAGGCCTTAGAAACTGATGACACCAAAAAAATCACAAGAATTAGAAAGAATCAAAAGTTAATCACACAATTACACTACAAGTATCAAAGTACAGAAAACTAAAAGGGTTGAAAAAAGGGATAAAAATGATGAATTAGGCCAGCACTTACTAAAAACTCCCCAAATGCCTTTCCACAGAAAGCCCTGGCTAGGAAAAGGTACCTAACTTCACCGACAGAATTTGAGGTGAACCGTGCTTCAACGCTACCAGAAAGGAGAAGGTTTCGCGAGTTGAGGAGTCCTTGGGAAAACAGAACAGATTATCCCTGAAACGAAAAGCATACCAACATAATCCTTTACTTCATCGAATTTCTCAGAACCTTTTTGTCGTAGGTCGCCCATTTTTTCAGCGCCTTTCTCCTGCAGCTCTTCGGCCTTCTCGGAACCTCTTTGTTGTAGGTTGCTTATTTTATCGGAACCTTTCTGTCGCAGATCGTCCATTTCCTTGGTACCTTTGTGCATGGCGCTCTTGAGCGTATGTTCAACGTCCTGGCCAGTGCCCGGTTTGGTTCCACTGTGACTGACCTGTGGTTTTTTTTTTGGAGCGGTAAGCTCGAATTACCAATATTATGTTTGTATTTTTAAATAAAAAGTAGCATTGGGAAAAATGATATATTAATAGTTTGCTTGTGAATTCTTATCAAGCGCTTTATTTGGAACTGAAAAACCAACAACCAGTGAGTGGCTGTTCTCCATGGGAGGCGGAAATACTCAAAATTAACATATGTGGTTGCAGTTGTTAATAAAAGCCAACCACTGGCAAAACTGTTGTTAGCTATCTCTTCCGAAGAACACTTAGAAACAAGCTGGTGACGAAGTCGTTCTATATTTTGGCTTTTTTTTGCCAAGACAAATGGATGGAATTCCGATTTTGCTACAAAACCTCCTAATGCAAAAATTCACCTGCTCACTGGTAGTTGTATGTGTTTCGGCTCCAGTCGGACCACCAGCTGTTTTCACGACCGTTACATAGTCCACATTCGAGCCTGCACCAACTGATTGACCAGGCCGTACTTCGAAGGCTTTGTTTGATGCATCAACCGGCTGGACACCACCATTAGCACCGTAATCAATGCTTGAACCACAACCAACACCATCAATGGAGCGAGCGCTGGTACCACCACCGTGGTGTGACGCATCGCTGCTGTGGAATGAGTCCGATAGCTGAAAGCAAGCGATCCGAGGCCTATGAATCCAATGTGCAGTCTCCCCCAACATTTCTCGAAATCTCTACGAAACAATAGCTTGGAATTCCGGTAACGCATTAACTTGAGAAAAGAGATGTAATTGAAAAAAATATGCACTATGAGTATGTGAATCCACAACGCTCAGGGAGTCTGAATTGAGTGATTTATGAGCTGTAGATGAACAAAAACCCAGAAATGCTTGAAATGCCCTGAATGTAAACTATTCACGAATCGAAGCAGCAAATTCCACAGTGCCCCCGTCGGACGATTATTATTATAATCGCCACTATTACTGTTATTATTATTACTGTTAACGTTATCGTCATTGTTAATATCACCGTTAATACTATACACCATGTATCTTACTACCCTTTTATTTTATTACCTGGAATTGCAGTACTAGTATTACAAAACACTGTTGCATCTTATTTGCGAATTTTTTTACGATTAAAAACAATTTAATATGAAGTTAAAACCGTCAACTTCAATAGGCCCAAGGTCCCTTCTCGCTCTGTGGATGAAACAATACATGAATGATCAAAAGCTTACTCGCTCAGTGTCCTCCTAATTTGTTTGCTTGGCGAAATGAGACATATCTTTTAAATAAAAAGGATATTAACCACAGGTATAGCGCAGTGGCGAGTAGCATGATTTTTTGATCGAACATGTACTGTGCGAGAACACTGGTTGATTCTTGAGCTATTGCACAGATAGGAGCTCCAGCACTCACCAGGACACCCGGTGTTAGAAGGAAGCTAGGCTATGTCTTACCTTTCGATATTTGGTCTTCACGGCCCCGGCCACATCAGCTGCTTTGTTTCTCACTTCCTTTGCTGTTTCGATAACACCTTCCTTAACACCGGTCAGGGCCTCTTTGGCTGCATCTTTCAGCGAGCTACCTGCTTCTGCTCCTGATCCACGTGCATGGTGTAACTTCTCTTTTGCTTCGCCCAAATGATGTTCTTTTGCTTCTGCATTTGCTCGACCACTCTAAAATTACTCCAGAAATTTAACTCAAACAAGCACCACCTGTTACAGATAGTCACTACCCAGAAAGGACTGTATAAGTTACCCGAGACTACAGCACCAAATACAGTATGGAAATGGTGCCATCGAGCTGTCAGAGGCAAGTGATGGAATTTCAGCCAAAAAAACCCACTTTTTTATGCAATTTTGGACTCTGGTACAAAAAAAAA